ATTATATACAAGACCCTGGGTTCAAACCTCATCACTGCAAAAACAACCTTATTGTTAGAACTCATTATTGTACAGAAAACATTTGGCTCCAAGTGTAATTTGTATGAAAAAAGACTAGGCGAATCTCTATTATGAAATAAAGATCAAGCAAATCTTGTGGAAATGGAGCCCACGGTCATCTGTATTTTTCCCTATGGTCATCTACACTCCACCAGAGAGCAGAACTGGAATCCTGTAATGATGTCATTCATGATGTCTGATATAGAAACTTTGAGTGAAGTTGCAGCAACTTATGCATCTCTATTAATAGGTCAACATCTTTTTTATTATTTTATTATTTTTATGTATATGAGTGTATTGCCTGCATGTATATAAGTACACCTGTGTATATATGCTCTCAGAGGTCAGAAGGCAGCATCCGTCGGATCCCCTGGAACTGGAGTTACAGGTGGTTGTTAGCTGCCACGTGGGTGCTAGGAATTGAACCCTGGTCCTCTGTGAGAGCAGCCAGTGCTCTTAACTGCTGAGCCATCTCTCCAGCCCCAGTAGGTCAATATTTTAATGGACTGCGAGCTCTTCAGGGGTTAGTGCTTAGCTTTTACTCAATGTTACAAATAGTTCTGACACAGGGAATGGTACGAGGAACTCAATAGACAGTGTCTGAATAAAAATGAGTTATCAGCAAGCCTAGAAGTCCTGTCACTTAACACTTTTGGAGACTGGTCTTCATTCCAAGGCCCTTTTATCTGCTGGCTTCTAGGAAGGTCTGCTTCCCAGTACTGGTAGCTTTGTCCTTGGCTTGGCTCTCACACTACACTGCACTTGAATTAATTCACTTTTCTTTCACCACCCCCCCCCTTTTTTTTTTTTTTTTGGTCTTTTTGAGACAGGGTCTCCCTGTAGCCCCAGCTGGCCTGGAACTCATTATGTAGACCAGGCTGGCCTCGAACTCACAGAGATCCACCTGCCTTTGCCTCCAAGTGCTGGGATTAAAGGTGTGCACCACTACGCCTGGCTTTTTCCCCTTTCTTTTTTGAAACAGAGTCTCCCTATGCTACCTATGCTGGCTTCCAGCTCAGGATCCTCCTGCCTCTGCCTCCTGAGTGCTTTTGAGTTCTGTGTACCACCATATCCAGCTGCACTTTTATTTAAATCTGTACTTGATGCCTGAGTGCCTCATGCACAGGAGCAATGGAACATCATTTTAGAAGTGAGGAGAAAAGACATAAGAGGTACTGCATTAGGGCTGAGGATGTGGCTTGGTTTGTAGAATGCTTGCCTAGCATGGAGGAAGCCTGGGGTTTCAGCCCCAGCACCACAAACCAGGCATGGTAGCAGGCACCTGTGATCCCAACAAGGGGGAATGGAGGCCAGAGGATCAGGAGTTCAAATTCATCCCCAATACACAGTGAGTTTGAAGGCCACCCTGGACTACATGAGCCCCTATCCTCCCCCACCCCTCGCAAAGTGCTGCATTGGTCAGGCTTAGACTGGAACACTACTGTCCACATTGTACTCCCAGTTACAGGAACAAAACAGAAATGGGAACCACGGAGGGAACAGTGTCAATGAAGGATCGGCTTATGTTAGATCAAACATTCTTTACATTTTGAACTCAGAAAAAATGTATAGGAACTATTTTAAACATAAGAAATTCTGTAATATATTGCTGACATGCAGTATTTATATTTGATTAAGCTGTAACCTTACTTATTTTGTAAACTAAAACCACCATTATGGTATACTTGTTTAAAAAAATTTTTTTGCTGACTTGGTTAACCCTTTATTTTATTTTATTTTTTTTGCTGAGACTTAAGATACGTTGCATGCATCCATCAAACAACCCTATAAATGCAAATTAGCTCAACCTCTGTATCTCAGCACTTCCTGGATCATCTAGTACTTCTGAAGAAGGCTAGAATGTTTCTTTGGACAATTTTTCTAACTTCAAATTCCTAAAATGGTGTGAGGATTCAAAGCAGAGTCATGACCTTACTTTAAAAACCATCATTTAAAATGTATTGTATATGGGCCAGGCATGGTGGCACATGCCTTTAATCCCAGCACTTGAGAGGCAGAGGCAGGAGGATCTCTGTGAGTTCAAGGCCAGCCTGGTCTACATAGTAAGTTCTAGATCAGCTGGGATTACAGGGAGACCCTGTTTCAAAAAGATTAAAAAAAAAGTATTATATATTGAATATAATTTCTAACCCCTTCTCATTTCTAGAAGAATCAAGATACACATAAGTGTACCTATTACTATGTGTTGCTGCTTCTTTAAAAAAATATATATTTTATTTATTTTTATTTTATGTGTATGCATGTATTACCTGAATGTAGGTAAGTGCGCCCGTGTCATGTAATGACCATGGAGAACAGAAGAGGCTGTCGGATCCCCTGGAACTGGAGTTACAGACAGTTGTTAGCTGCCATGTGGGTACTGGGATTCGAACCTGGGTCTTCTGCAAGAACAGCCAGTGTTCTTAACCGCTGAGCCATCTCTCCAGCCCCGTGTATTGCTGCTTCTTTTGCTAACCAGGTAATATACAATCAACAAAAATATAGCTTTCCATTCCCCAAAGTGGGAAAAAATCCAAATATCCATTAACTGATAAACAGCAAATTTGGTAAATTCAGATAATGGATATTATTCAGCCATAAAAGAGAATGAAGCACTAATACATGTTTCAACATCGGTGAACCTCAAAGTATATGCTTACTAGCAGAAGCCAGACATTAAATACTTCATATGATATAACTGCATTGATGTGAAATATCTGGTACAGGGAAATCCACAGAGACAAAAAGCAGATGAGTTGGTGCCAAAGGCTGGAGGGAGGAAATGACTGCTTGTGGGCATACGTTCTCTTTTGGTGAAATGTTCTGGAATTAGCTAGTGGTGATGGCTGTACAACTTTATTTTTTATTTTGTTATTACGTGTGTGCAGGCATGTGCACGTCACGGCATGCATGCAGAGGTCAGAAGACAACTTTTAGGAGCTGGTTTTCTCCAGTTACTGTCAGTTCTAGGGCTCAAGGTTGTCAGGACTGCATGGCAAATGCTTTTATTCACTGAGCCATCTCGCCAGTCTTGGTTGTACAACTTTATTATTTTTTAAAATATTTTATTTATTTATTTATTTTATTTGTGTTGGATTCCCTGGGAACTGGAGTTACAGATGGTTGTGAGCCACCATATGGCTGGGAATCGAACCCCGGTCCTCTGTAAGAGCAGTCAGTGCTCTTAACTGCTGAGCCATCTCTCCAGCCCCTGGTTGTACTTTAGAAACATACTAAAAGCTATCAAGCTGTATGCTTTAAGAAGGTGAATGTTAGCCTGGCATGGGGGTGCATGCCTGTAATTACAGCACTCAGGAGGCAGAGGTAGATGGATCTCTGTCAGTTAAAGGCCAGGCAGAGCTGTACAGTGAGACCCTGTTCCAAAAACAAAAAATAAAAATGGTGAAAACAATTGAAGTTCTAGATATTTAAGTTAGTCACTGAATTTTGACAAGTCACATTGTCCCACTCTAAAGTGAGAAGGTAGGATTAAATGTTTTCTTTTATGAGAAAATACTAACTTACTGTTAAGCACGTCACTTAAGTTGTCCAACACCAAGCTGTAGTTTTTTGGGTTTTGTTTTGTTTTTTACTCTTTAGAATCAGAAGGAAAGTCACCTCCATGATGCCACCAGGATAAAAAGGAGAAGCTAGTGCACATCAACAGAATTCAGCTGGCCAGATCCTAAACCATGAAATGGGCTTTATCTACAGCAAAAGTTTCCTTCCACTCAACGGGGGCACTTACTCATGATTTCCACTCCGCTTTCTATAACCTTCCCAATACTTCTGTGACACTTTCTAATCGCTCTGCTCTAAGCAGCTGAAGCTGAGTGTAAGTGCTGCTGTCAAACACCGAATTCCGTGAGGAGGACTGCTCCCCAGTCCAGGTAAAGCTTTGTGTACCTAATCAGATGACAAAGTCTTTCACTGAAGAACCACACTAAGGGCCAGATGCATAAGGCGAAGGACAACTTCTAGAAATGCAATATAAGAAAGGCTTCAGGCTGGCTCAGCCAGAGGATGAGGAAACAAAACCACAGCGGTCAAAGGGAAAGACACCTCCTGTTTCGGCCAGTGGTCAGGAGGCATACAATCCAATCATGTAGGAAATCCCTGAAGCGGAGTATAATGCCACAGTAAATCATACAAGCAGACAAGGACATGACCTTTGGGCCCTGTGCAAAGGAAACCCTTGCAGTTTTTAACCAATTCTTCCCTAGCTACTTCCAACCTGTGCTACCCTCTGGCTCTGCCATTTCAGAGGTGCCGCTGTTCTTCATCACCCCCCCAACCCCCCTTATGTTAGGAAATCCCACTGGCTCTACCTTTAACACACATTTACAGAATCAGGTACTCCTCACTCCTCATCACCTCAGTCACTACCAAGATTGTTTTCTTTGGTTTGACTTCTTGTCGTGGTTTACTAATTGGATTCCCCCAATATCTCACCTTGTTCTCGAGAACAAGTTAGAGTAACTATTTTCAAATGAGGAGTTCAATGATGTCATCTGTCTGCGTTTGAAGATTTTCAGTTTCACTCAGAGTAGAAGCCAGAGTCTTTGCAATGGCCTACAAGGCCTGATAAAATCTGGTTTCCCATTTCCTCTCTGGCTTCGTGTCCCACTACTTCAGTCTGTCCCAGCCACACAGGACAAGTCTCACTTTTCAAGTTGGAGCCTAAGAACCTTTGCAAGTGCTGCTCCCCCAGTGATCTGTAGGGCTCTCTCTTATGCCTTCAAGTCCATTAAAATGTCATCTTGTTGACACCTTCCGTGATCCACCCTCATCCCTCGCTTCCTTTCTCTCCACAGCATTCACTACCTTCTATGTTCTAATAGATAGTTTGCTTATTTACTTTGTTTATAATCTATCTGTCCCTATCATCTAGGCAGACCGACACTCACTAAGTGTGTGCAGAACAAGCATGTGGAACTCACCGGTGTCCCCCAGGTCGGAGGTCTGAAGAAACGTGCGGCAGCGCTCTTTGTGCTCCTCGAGGGAACTCCTCTGCTTGTAACTCCTTCCGCAGAACTCACATTTGTAGGGTTTCTCCACTGGAAGGAGAGCACAGAGGTACTCAACAACCTACACAGGTGAATGGGGGCTCTGAGAAAGCTGCTGTCTAGGAATGAGATGGCTCTGAAGCCTGAGTACACAGCTCTGAGTCTGTGCTGCTTTTAAATCTGTTAAGCCAAGACGAAGCTACGGTCTAGGATTAATTATTATGTCAGAGTCTTCTTCAAAAGGATGATCTACTGTCACAGATGGAAAGATCTGGATAGGATGAGTTCTACTTTAGTGCTTAACTCCAGATAAAATTTGTTTGTTTGTTTGTTTTTTTTTTTTTTTTTTTTTTTTTTTTTTGGTCTTTTTGAGGCAGGGTCTCCCTGTAGCCCCAGCTGACCTGGAATTCGCTATGTAGACCAGGCTGGCCTTGAACTCACAGAGATCCACCTGCCTCTGCCTCCCAAGTGCTGGGACTACAGGTGTGCACCACCACGCCCAGCAAAATTTTTTTTTTTATAACATTTTAAAATTTATTTTTATTTTATATGTTTTGCCTGCATGGATGCAAGTGCACTATGTGGGTAAAATGCCCTCAGAGGCCAGAAGAGGGCGCTGGATTCCCTGGAACTGGGGTTACAATGGTTGTCAGTCACCACATAGGTACTAGGAATGGATCCTGGGTCCTCTGCAAGAGCACCAGTGCTCTTAACCTCTGAGCTATTTCTCCAGCCCCAAATCTTGTTTCTTTTTAATAAAAAAACAGGACCATTCATTCTTTAAGGAGGGTAACGTGGCATAGGAACAGAATGGTAAATCATCCTTTATGTTTTGTGACCTGGATCTGGCTGTGAATAATGACCTCTGGAGTATATGGGAGTGACCCGCTGCTCTAGAAACTTGTTAGAGCACCGACCTGTTTGGATAAGTGTATTTCTTCTTGTCAAGTGTTTATAACAAAATATGGCCTAAAATAATAAAAACTGAGGTAATAAATAAAGAATATTTTTGAATAATAAAAATTAAGAATGAATTGCAAAATGACTTCAACTACATTTCTAAGGTGAAGCAAAAGACTCATAAGTTTACCGACATGTAAGCAATGCACTCACCTCTCTTTGCAAGGATGGGGTTTTTCTGTTGTTGAAACATACCCTAAACATTTGTCAGAGTTTTGGGGACTGAAAATTTTATTTTCGTTTTGTGATGTTGGGAATCAAACCCAGGGCCTTGGGTGTGCTAGGTCTGGGTGTTACCACTGGGCTACCCTGAAATGTGTTTATTTTCTAATTCCTCTTGCTCTGTTTGAAACAGAGGATTTAGGAGTAAAAGCATAAAGGATCCTTGTGAAATCCCAACCTAAAATTAAGTGTAGGCTTGCTGTAGCTAGAAATATTAAATTTCTGTGTAACTGGGGTGCTCTAGAATCTGTCTCAAAATACTCACTGGTATTTTGCTTGAAAAAAGGCAACAGAGAAGAAATATTCTAAGTTTTGTTTGGATCATTCTCATTCCTAATTCATTACATTGACAGAAAAGTTGAAAAGAAAAAAAAAAACGTCTTTGCCACATATGATCTGTCGTGGGTTTTGTTGGGGTTGATTTGTTTAATCTCACTCCAAATTGTGACTAGTTTTGAGATCAGAGCTGGGTTTTAGTCAAAGCAGTAATGTGGACTGACATAAAAACAAACCTCTTTTTTTTTTTAAATTAAAATTCTGCCAGATAACATCGAGAACATGAGGTCCTGAATTTAAAAAGAAGCGTAACCTTATTTTTCTAAAAGGGGAATTCTAAATGTTAAGAAAGTCTCATCTTGCTTGTTCACAATAAGGAGCAAAAGTATCCAGGGCGCACATAGCTTTTTATGAATTCTTGTTGTGATTTCTTCTTTAGAGTTTAAAAATAAGTAGGCTGAGGAAGGGAATGTTGGGTTTAGGAAATATAGCCCAGAAACTGAGTGGGGTGGCAGCACATGCCTACAATTCCAGCACTCAGGAGGCAAAGGCAGGAAAATGGCTGCAAGTCTGAGGCTAGCCTGGTCTACATAGTGAGTTCCAGTTCAACCAGGGCTACATAGTGAGGTCCTACCTCCAAAACAAAAACAAAAACAAACAAAAAGAAATAAGAAATCTAGCCTAATATGACCAAAAATAACCTCAAACAATAATTTATACCTGGTTTACATCTTTTAATAATTTCTAAACTATACACCATTTGCTTGTGTAGTCTTATGAACAGAAAATTAGAAACTATGAGTGTGTATGTGTCCATGTTAGGAAAATAATCCTTTAATAAAGTTTACAATAAAACACTGATGACTACAATTTTCTTATAAATATTGTGAAGGCATTTTCACAGGTCAGGCCCTTTGTGTCTGACTGCTATTCTCCAGGCACAAGGATGCTAAGGAGATGGTCTCCACAGAGGCAGACGGAGAGCAATTAATGCCTTAATGGAAGTGCAATAGCCCTAGAGGTCTCTGCTCTCTGCCTTCAGATTGGTAGTCACAGATTCACGCCTCCACGCTTAACTCTTTCTCTGTTCCACAGTTACTAGATGTGGAAAGCTCACGTCCCTCACTTACCAGAATGTGTCCTAAGGTGTCCCGTGAGTGCATCTCTCCTTTGGCATGCGTAGTTGCAGAGGTGACACTTAAAAGGTTTTTCCCCTGTGTGCAGCTTAATGTGGCGGAGGAGGTTACCTTTCTGAGTAAAAGATGCCCCACACTGATTACACTGGAACGGGCGCTCACCTTCAGAAAGGACAAAAAAGGAGGTTTCTTGTCACCAGGCAGGTGGAAAAGCACACGCATAGATTAGATGCCTATGGCAAAAGCCCATTTCTGTGTGGTTATGCCCACAACGAGATCACCTGGGAGCTGCCTTTTGAAACAAAGTAGACTTATTTGTAGAATCTTCCTCCCTGAGGAGATAAAGCTCCCACTCAGTAAAGCTGTTCTAATTAGCATCTTGCTTTGAGTCAGTGAGACACGAGTAGCTCTAGGAGAACTTTCTAGAAGTTTTTGTATTACTTGACATTTCTTTCTAATATAATCTCCTTTGAAGAGACTCACAGATTCAAGTCTTTTTTGTTTGTTTGTTTGTTTGTTTTGTTTTGGTGGTGGTTGCTTTGTTTTTTTGAGACAGGGTCTCCCTCTGTAGCCCAGGCTGGCCTGGAACTTATGGTGATCCTCCTGCCTCAGCCTCCTGAGTAAGAGTAATGAGATTACAGAAGTGAGCCACCACACCATGCTTGGAGTCAAGACTTGGTAAGGTGCTAAGGGCCCCAGGGCTTCTTTTTAGAGTCTCCATATCAGAGGGAATCTACTGGCTCTGTGGGACAGCTGGTCAGATGCCTTCCTATGGATGGACCCCTTGCTTATTATGAATATATATTTAAAACTGGCAACAAAAATGATGTCCCTTCATCCACGAAATATGAACCCAATACAGTAAGGAGATCTGCTTTTATTAGACGTGTCAGGAGAAAATACATGGAAGACCTCTAAGAAGCAAACTACGGTTCAACTCCTACTTACTAACTGAAGAAAAGTATTTGGCTAACCTAGAACACTGCTCTCTGTAGAGTCTTTTTTTATTCATGGCATTTGCAGCACTGTTTGCCAAATGCACAGTGAAGCAGAAACAAAAATCACTGTGATAACGCAGAGAGGGTGAGATCCAGCAGAGCTATGGCAAAAAGCAACAGAGGAATCCAAACACCCAAATTCCATTGCTTCTTTCTGTGAGTGGCTGCATGAGGACAGTTTTCAGAATGGACAGAGGAAACTATTTACCAGTATGGCTTCGCTTATGAACCATTAAGACATTGAAGCTAATGCAGGACAGGCCACACACATCACAGCTCATCTTGCCACTGGCTGGTCTGCTGCTGTCACATGGGACAGTGTGTCTCTCCAGCTTAATGTTTTCATACTCGCTATATTCTCTTGCATAGCTGTAAGGAATTTCAGGCTCTTCTGAGTTTCCCATGGGCTCTGGCTTTAAAACATTCTCATCTCTTTCGTTGTATTCATCTTTGATTCTCATCGAATCATCTGCAGGGAAGAAAATGCAGGACACAAACAGTGACTACTTTTGAAGCAGTGAGGCAGCTCAGAAAACAGAGACCCACAACTGACAGCTACATACAAACAAAGCTCACAGAACATATACAAAGCACACATATGAAACCAGAAAGCACCATGACGGTGATTGCTCATTATCTGAATTCAGAACCACAGCTAGAGCAACACACACACACACACACACACACACACACACACACACACACAGATGGCAATATTGTAGGCCATCCAGAAAATCTGAGATAACAGGCTTTAGCTATGACTACTAAGAGACTGTGAAGCAAACATTTTGAGCAACCTGTCCCCAGTACTGGGAGAGCAGAAAGGTTCTCCCATTGTTTTTGGTGACTGCAGTTAAAAAAGGCAACATGACATGCTCTTAGATTGCAAGGTGAAAATATCGTTTTGATTCTGCAGATGCATCAATTTAGACTACTAAGATTGAGAGTTGGATAGTTTACACTGTTTTTCTGAGCTGAAGCCATGCTTTGACTCTTCCATGTGAACTGCTAAAATGCAGCTTATCTCCCCATCTCTTGGAGCTGATAAGGACATAGCAATGAAAGCAGAGGAAGTTCTAAGTTAGTGAAACTGTTGAGAAAGATAGGAGAAGTAATTCTTTAGTACACCCTGGAGGGGACCACTTTCACCCAACTGGGTTCAACCTAATCAAGAGGAAGGATATCTATGTCCAAGCTAAGCAGGACTAAACTCAAGACAGGACTGGACTGGAGAGGAGGGACTAGCCTAAATAAATTGGCTAAGTACCACTCTTTCTTTCTTTATTTTTATTTTATGTGTACAAGTGTATTGCCTGCATGTGTGTAAGTGTACCTGTGTCATGCAATGCCCAGGGAGGTTAGAAGAAGGTGTCAAATTCCCCTGGAACTGGAGTTACAAATGGCCGTTAGCCACCATGTGGGTGCTGGGAACCCCTGGTCCTCTGCAAGAGCAGTCAGTTCTTAACCACTGAGCCATCTCTACAGTCCCTAAGTACCATTCTTCTTCTTCTTTTTTATTTTTTTTGGTCTTTTTGAGACAGGGTCTCCCTGTAGCCTCAGCTGTCCTGGAACTCACTATGTAGACCAGGCTGGCCTTGAACTCACAGGGATCCACCTGCCTCTGCTGGGATTGAAGGCATGTGCCACCATGCCCAGCTAAAGTACCATTCTTAAAAGAGCTATCACGATGGTTTCTTGGGAAGGAGGCAGTGCTGGTGATAGAAGGCAGAATCTCATATATGCTAGGTAAGCATTCTATCATCTAGCTACATGCTACATCTATCATCATCCACAATCATGCTATGATACTCGTGTGTATTGGGGGGAGCACGTGGAGGTCAGAGGTCAGTCGGGATGCAATTTCTCAGGAGCTGTCCACTTTGTATTTTTGGAAGCAGGGTCTGAAATTCACTGATTAGGCTGGCTGCTCAGTCATCAAGCACCAGGAATCCCCCTGTCTCTGCTTCCTCAGTGCTGGGATTACAAGTGCCTGCCACCACACCTGCCTTTTTATGTGGATGCTGCAGATCAAACTCAGGTCCTCATGCTTGTATTGCAAGTACTTTACTGACTGAGCTATCTCCTCAGTCCCCTGTGATACTCTTAAGAACATTAAGAAATAGAGAAGGCAAATTTATATACTAACACCAAAAAACCTAAAAATTTGCCTGATGAGAGCTTTTCATATATAAAATAAGTTGAATAAGTTCTTACTCTTTCAAACCCTGAGTTTTTAGAAACTGGAAGCTTTACTTTTCCATAAGGAAACACAAATCAATGGAATTGAGAGCAAAAGAGAATTTAGAATCAGTTAATCCAGCTCTCTTCTTTCTCAGATAGCAAATGTGGAAGCAGATGACCTCAGCCTTGTGCTCAAGTTTACATAATGAGTTACTAGCAGAGGGGTGGTAAGAGCACTAAACTTTTTTTTTTTTTAACTTTTATTTTATGTGTATGTGTGTACTGCCTGCATGTAGGTAGGTGCACCGTGTCGTGCAATGTCATGCAATGCCCTCAGCGGTCAGAAGAGGCCATCAGATACTCTGGGACTGGAGTTACAGACAGTTGTCAGCTGCCATGTGGGTGCTGGGATTCAAACCTGGGTCTTCTGCAAGAACTGCCAGTGTTCTTAACCGCTGAGCCACCTCTCCAGCCCAAGAACACTAAACTTGAACTATGAGTTGGATTTGACCTCACACACTAGACATACAAAGCCTAAGTGGCGCCAGGCATGGTGGCACACGCCCTTAATCCGAGCACTCAGGAGGCAGAGGCAGGTGGATCTCTGTGAGACTGAGGCCAGCCTGGTCTCCATAGCAAGTTCCAGGCTGGCTGGGGCTACAGGAGATCCTGTCTCAAAAAGACAAAAAAAAAGAAGCAGTCTTAGTGACTTCTTAACAACTCTACTCCACACCCTTCCTTCACTGGGGTAGATGTCAAAACCCAAAACACTTTTTAAAAAGTTTAAAAAAAAAAACCCTACATCTCTTCCAAAACACATGAGCAAGCATTGATCCACACAGGAGGAAGCAGGGCTGCAGCTGTGCCTGGCTTGCCACCTTCCACCCCAGTTTCAATTTTCACTTCTATCAGGTTACCTTTCATCTACATTAACTGTGTTTGCTTAATAGAGCAAGACAAGGCCTAACCACCACCAGCAGGGCTACGGCTGCAGCGCTGTTCCACTGCTCACCACAGTTCATGGTTCACAACCTCTTACTCCTGGCTGCAGAGATGGACGGCTGTGGAATAACCCCAGCCCATTCCGAATTTGTCTGTTCTGCACATCTGGGTTGAACAGGAATTGATACCCATGTCCTACTGGGAAAGGGGTTCATTTTCTTTTTCTTTTTTCCTGGATGGATCTTGCCTGTTTTCATATGGAATTTATTTCCTTGAGTGCTTTGGGTTTTTTAAATTTTTTATTTATTTGTTTTGGAGACAGGGTCTCCCTATGGATCAGGCAGGCCCGGAACTCACTATGTAGACCAGGCTGGCCTTGATCTCTGCCTCCCAAGTGCTGGGATTACAGGCATGCACCACCACACCCGGCTCTTTTTTTTTAAACAGAAGGATGCACCTGAGGTCTGTGCCCTCCTTTCTTCCTCCATGGTTCCAGCTGTGGGTGATATCCCACCAAAGCTTGAGTGCTCTTCAGTTTGCATGTAGGCGGTTAACGGAAAAGTTGTACTGAGAACCAAAAACAGCAGACTGAAAGGGCCAGCAAAAAAGGATCCTTTACATTTTGGTTAGAAAATGTGAACACAGCCACACTCAGGCCACTGGAAAGTCAGTGACTGTTAACAAGTAGTAACATCAAAGTCTTTCTGCGAACAGAGGACCAAGAAGAGACTCTTTCCTTTGTGATTTTGGTCTGACCTGGAACTCAGTACCACCCCAGCCTGGCTCATGATCAGATCTTGGCTTTTTAGTTTCTAACTGTAGAGCAAGGAAGCCAGTATTTAAGACCAGGTCAGTAGGGAAATCCCAGGAGTCACAAGAATGGGTTATTGGACAAATGTGTAGACCACTACACCAAAAAAACCAAAAAACCAAAAAAACAAAAACAAAAAACCCTGGTATAGTTGCTTGAATATTGGTTTTAGATAAGTGACCTGGGCAACCTCCCTGCATGGTCACTGAAGATCAGAACTTTTATGGTTTATCATGCAAAGACAAACAGGTGATACTCAAATCAGAAATTAAGGTTCGTGTAGTATTCCTGAGAGATTATTGGGTTTGGGCCCCAGCCTCCAAATATAGTCCACTAAAACCAAACCGGGAAAGACTGGACTTCTCTAATGAAGAGGTTTATTCTATTCTTTGGGAGGAAGACTTTTTGGAGCAGAGAAATACCCCTAGAAAATACTAACAAGGATTTCTAAAATTAAACCAGTAATCTTTGACCCAACCTTGCTTCTAATTTATAATAGATGGCACTCCCTTCTTCCAGTCTGAAAACTGTGGACTGGAAACTCCACACCAAATCCATCTTTCAGGTCTAGCAACTCTGTCCTTGGAGCCTCCAGGTACCAGCTCCCCCTTTTCCTTTCTGTTTGCAGTCTACCTGAGCCTCCCATCACAATGTGCCTAAACTCATCCTCTTCCCTAATTCTTTCCTAGTCATATAATCTGGTGTCTGCCTCCGTAATTCACTGAATCTGTCCCCACACAATAATCTACTTTGTCCTAATCCAGTGCTTCCCAGATGTCATTCCCCACAATTTATGGCAGTCTTGAACCACCATTTCCTGCTCTTCCTCACTCTAATTTCTTCAAGAAGATTACATTTCTTTTATTTTCTGATTGTTTCTAATTCCATTTCTTCCTCCTACCTCCTAATTACTGTTGTTAACTCTCTGCTTTCCTCCTTCTGCGTACTCTCTAGGGCAGTCCCATCCATCCTTAATGCCCCAACCAACATCATTTCATTTATTTATTTCTATTTTTTAATTAATTAAATAATTAATTAATTAGTTTATTTATTGGTCTTTTTGAGACAGGGTCTCCCTGTAGCCCCAGCTGGCCTGGAACTCACTATGTAGACCAGGCTGGCCTCAAACTCAGAGATCCACCTGCCTCTGCCTCCCAAGTACTGGGATTAAAGGTGTGTGCCACCACACCCAGCCTTATTTATTATTATTATTTTATGTGAATCAGTGTATTGCCTGCATGTATGTATGTGCACCCATGTTGTGCAATGTCTGAAGGGGTCGGAAGAGGGTGTCAGATTTTCCTGGAATTATGGAGTTATGGATGATCGTTAGCTGCCATGTAGGTGCTAGGAATTGAGCCCAGGGTCCTCTGCAAGAGCAGCCAGTGCTGTTAACCACTGAGCCATTTCGTCAGTCCCCGACCAACATCTTATATGTCTGTCTCCAAGTGTGAAGTTCTGTCCTCGTCCTTGTTTTCAAAGGTTCCCCAAGTCTGTCCAGTTACTCAAGCTACAATCCTTATGCTCATCCTTTC